GGAGAAACTACTTATTATGAAAGCGAAGAAAACTGAATGCCTGAACAAACGCTCTGACTTGTTTTCCAAATGTAGACATGTAACCAGATACCTGCTTAATCAAGTTGTAAAATGATAACCTATATTTATTATGAATATTGAATAATATCTGTCAGTTGCCTGATGATCGCGTAAAGCGTGAAACTCAGAGTAGCGACGCAAACATTCAAACCTTGACTGAATTAATTCCGCTCTACTTATTATGGTATTGAGCGCTCTTCTACCTTACGTCAACTCATCGACTATTTGTTTTAATATAGTCTTCAGTATATATATATATATATATATATATATATATATATATATATATATATATATATATATATATATATATATATATATATATATATATATTTATATACAAACATATACATTCTATATTTTTTACAATACAATCTGACTTTTACTCTTAACAAAAAAGGCCAACATACACAATCATGTAAAGTAACATTATTACTTTTAGAATGGCTTTTTCCGTGATTTTTACAGACTTATTTTAAGGAATGGGCTGAAGGTTTTTCACCTAGCCCTAGGTGTATCTTTTTACTTCCATCAATTGTATTTTTTATGCCTATCAATTGTATAATGTGCGTATATAATGCCAGATTTTAGTACCAAATAAATTTTGCAATTTATAGGCCTATTGTCCTATATTCTTGAGCAATATTGGTATTGATTCCTAATTCTTGTCGCAAAAACTTAGGGTAGGTCGGGTCAGTGCTGGAAAATGCCCAGCAGTGCCAGGAATTTTTAACAAAATATCTTAGAGGAAAATTTTTTTTACATCTTATATACTGGAATGCCATATGTGTGGAGATTGAAGTTTATCACCTGACTCTTCCACAGTCCCTCATTTGTACGCTCGGTCGCATAATTTGAGCAGCGCTGATTTGATTGCTTCAGATTCTATCACATTCCCATTAAGCACCGTGCTCCCATTGTTTTTCCACTGATCTCTATTCCCAACTGAAGCGGCGAGGGACGAGGCAGGTTTATCACAATGTGTGGCACGTGGTAGCACCATGCATTCACTGAAATCTACATATCCAGGAAGTTTTACAGGGTATATTTGAAATTTATATTTTTCTTTTTTGCTGTTAGGAAGGGAAATATATTTTCTAGGCCTGGGTCAGGTTTTTCATTTTTAAAATTATTTTTATAAATGCGCATGTGCATGTGAATGATATTTTACATCAATTAGGGCAGCACAGATGGCACAAACATTCGTTAATGTTATATCAACTTTGAAACAAACAACAGGTTTGTACTTTATATAGCTAATACAAAACTAATGCCATGGACTGGGTGCGAAATGTTGCTCTTTGAAAACTTCAGATAAAAAGAATAGGCTCGGTGATTTCAGTGGCTAGAAGCTAGGTAGGTCGGGAAACTGGAAACCCTGGTAATGAGTATATATTTTTTGCCTACAGTATAAACAGCAGTCAGTAATAGTATTGGTTAATTAAATTTTTTCACTATTAACCCATCCTTTTTATTTTTATTATTTTGTGAATACAACTTTTTAACATCTTGTTTTGCAATAATCATTGTCTTCTATGTCACAGCTGTGTTCTATAATGTAATAGACTGTTCATGACTATGTTTTTATATATGTAATATTTCACCATTGTGTCCCTTGCCTAAAACACTGTCAATAATGTAAACACACCATAAAGCAGTGCACATGGGTATGCTACCAATAACTGCTGAGAGTCCATTGCTAAGACGGTCACAAAGAACTTTGATGCAGATAAACTACACCAGCCAATTCCTAGTGCACTTAGCAAAATGGCAACCAAACCCTGTAGTTTGATAATACTGGTGATTCCTGATAATGCAACCACAGGCAGGAGACAATATCCAAGAATGCTGATAACACATCCAGCAGAAACACCAGTCATACTCATTAGATTCAATACGGCATACATGCTGGCACAACCCAAGACACCAAAGCCATAGATATACCCGAAATGCACTTTCCCCTGCAGTAACAACAGAGCACCAAATGCAAGACAAAACACCAAAGGACCAGCAAGATCGGTATCATCCATGATATGTGAATCAGTTTCTTTAAATGGATTTAAGACTGATTTTGTTTTCTCCCAAATGTGATCAAAATTGATGCCTAATTCTTCCAGTAATGGCGGCTCATCTTCAAAGCTTGTACCTCCGTAGTTTTCAGAAACATTGGAGAAATTTTGATTCATAGACCCAGAATAATCGTTTGGTTGATAATGTTGAGGTTGGTATATGCCCGAGTTGTCAAAGCTGGCTTGGTACTGACCTGTTGTGTCTTGTTGAGCGTAGTTACCTCCATACTGTTGTGAAGGATCGCCATATGGAGCATTATAGAACCCTCCTTGGTAGAATTCTTGATTTTCTGAGTAAAATTCACCTTGATTCATTATGAAATGTTGTTAAAATTTACAAATAGAACAAGGAGTTCTTTCAGATCTTTCTCAAAGTTTTGCCATCACACGTCACCTGACTGCGCAGTATTAAGAGGAGACTGGAACTAATTTCATCAACCGCTGGTCAAAAATGCTCAATGCACAAGTTTGAAACTTCATGTAAGAAATATTAATTCAATTTTACTTTTAATTTTGTTTCTTTTGGCTCTTTTCCTATCTTTTTTCATTTTAGTTCATTTTACTTTACCAAAATTTATGTATTTATTTAAAAATTATGAAAACAAATTACTGGCAGCCCTCGGCCACCATAGATCAGTGGCACCAACTGGCCGAAAAAAAATTGTGCGCAGTAATGAAATTGTGTGCATTACTTTTTGCGCGTTCCCGTCACTCGCTTTCAAATCCTACGCTAATCGACGATTGATTTTGCGCCCAAAATGCGTATGCGTTTAACTGTCAATGCACGCGCATGCTTTTTTAATGCTTTAGCACGCTTGAGTTGTGCTGTTACGTTGCACAACTATTCAAAATTACATGACAGCGCAAATTGGCAGGCAAATTTACATAAAATTTGTAAACAAAGTTCACCCGTCTATAATGGCTAGGGTCCTGTCAACCGCGGAAGCAAAAAAAACTGGGAACGAGTTTGGGGGTTAATAAAGCGCCATTTTTGGTTATCGTTCTATGTTTCGCGCACCAATATAAGTTAGGGTTAGGGGTTAGGTATTAGGGTTAGGTTAGGGGTTAGGTTTAAGGATAGGGTATGTATATATACGTGTATGTATGTATACGTGTATGGAGGTATCCAGTTAGCTTTTCAGTACACTATAATATCCATTACATAACGTTTACTATATTGGTGCGCGAAACATGGAACGATTACCTCATTTTTCATGACATGTTGCCTAATATCACACAGACAAATTATCCACAAGTTGTACACATAGGCAGAATACGCACAGAACTACACACAGAACAGAAGAACTCGCATGCAGCTACGAGGATGCCGAATGGTCTGCACGTTAACAAACAGACGAGTTATCAGACGAACTCTTCTTTGCCCACGTTCGTCCAGGCCGTGGTCCAGGCGAATCACGGTGTCTAGTATAATCTCCGAACAAACAGAACTTTTTTCAAAGGCCGCACTACAAACATTGAACTATTCTGACAACACTGAGCCTTATGGCTATAAAATAAACAGAAACCGGCTTTAATTTTTAGGTTTATGCCCTTATTTGCAATATTTCAAGTAATATATAATGTAATTTCCTTAATAATTTTATTTAAACTTTCATATGAATAACGCAAATTACTATACATTCAATAGACATTATAAAAATTTAGATTATATATATTTTTAAAATGTGCTGTAGTTGGAGAACCAGTGACATTTCGAGTAAGTAATCTCCCATCCAGATCCAGCAGACAACGCCCAACATTTCTTAGAATTATCTTCATGTTTCTTACGTAAATGCCTGAGTTAGTATCTAAATAATTAATCAATTATCTCCTAATACTCAGATTCCCAAACTATTTATAAATTCAGTTAAGAATTAACTTCCAATGCTTATGACCCCATTTCCCTAATGTTAATTAATTGCTCTTGTTTTCAAAATTTTAGTTATATTCTATGAAATTTGAAAGCATATTCTGTTTGCTATACCATGTTGAATATTGGTTGTTCTACATTGAACACGTATTTAAGTAGGTCTTACACATGGCCTCGTATTTGCCAAGTGGATTAATAATCATATTTTCAACCTTAGCTTGTTCATCCCAACTTCTCATTCTCAGGATTGCTTCGAAATTCTCCAGCTTCTCAAATGTCGCTGCTTCATCGTTATTCATTGGTCCACCTTGATGTACTAGAGTCATTTTGCTCGCGCTTGATAATTCTAATTGAAGAGAAGGTTGTAACAAGTTTGTGACTATTTTGTAACATGTCTATTGAATTGTCTATTGAGTTGCCAGTACAACGAGGGCCTACTATAGGGGGTCGGTCCTTTCGCAAACCGTTGTACTTCATCGTTAATCGCCAGTATTTTCTTCGTGAAAACCGTAACCGTCATTTTCTTTATATCTATATTTACTTTTTTCGATTTTTATGCGGTTTTTATTAAAAACTGTATAACCGCTAGACTATAATAGGTCCCCTACAACTTGATTCGGCATTCCACAACTCTGTAGAAAAGTATAGTCTCTGCATAGCAACTCTGGATAATCTGCTGGATAATCCGGTCGGATATTTTTCAACTATCCGGCGTAAATGCTATAGCCGAAGCACCCCTAAATACCTCCTTGGTTCGATACCATATTAGACACTTACGATCATAGTATCCAGGTCTCTTTGCAACAAGATATCTCTTCGCAGACACGTGACCACGAACGAAGTCGGTTATACCCTTTGGAAATCCTGAAGTAAAAAATACGAGGTCAAACAGAAACTTTTCTGTAGTCACGAATTTGTTCTCACCTCACAATGATTGGATTGGCTGACTGTATCTTTAAAATGCTAATATTAGAAACTTACGTTGTCATTGAAGTAAGGCCCCATTCACATGAGACCGGAGAGAAGGCAAACCGGGATAATTTCGTTTCGGTCATGCATAGTAGTATTATTTATAATAGATATTTATATTGAGACCGGGACGAAAATAAGTCATTCCGTCTGCTGGACCGAGCCGACTGACTTCAGATCGGCATGAATTCAGACTGGGATGAATGTGATACTGGAACAACACATGCTAACAAAAGCCATCTAAAAAATAAAATTGCCTGGCAAGGGGAATAAATTGAAAATTTTGTGATTTACTCATCCATATTAAAGAAAATGACGATATGAAAGTGAGAGTTATTATATGTTAAATAATTTATGATAAAGTTGAATAACCTACCGAGGTCTTTTAAGAAATTTTCTCCGACTTTATCGTGATTTTGTGTCCCAATAATCACACCATCAGTAACCATATCTTCTAAATTTTTGTCTTTTCCAACTAAATGTCCTATGTCATGCAGAAATGCACCAAGTATCACCTAAATATGCAAAATATTTACACACGTTTATTTACTCAGTCCCAGTAACGAACACAATATGCCCAAATATTCTATTTTAACCATTTATTAATTTCTGCTGTCCAAACCCATGCAATATATAGCTAATGCCAGACTATTCTTTGTTTGCAAGGACGTAATTTTGGGATTTCAGTTGACAGGCAGGTATAACAAAAAACGGCTATTTTAATATATTGATTGAGTTGAGAGACGGTTTAAGCCTCAAAAGATGAATTACCGTTCAGTTTTTCTTGCTACAACCATTCTGATAGGAGAAAAATCGTCCACAAGTTGTTTGATTGCCCGTCATGCATTTGGATGAAAAGTCACGTGATTGCAAACAAAGAATAGTTCACTCCGTAAGAGGGACACAATAGTACCAAATGCCGTAATGGAAGCATGCAGTCTCAAGATAACTGACTCATTGAATTTCATTAAATCAATCACATGCCAAGCAAAAATCTCGGATCTTCCTTGCCAATCTACATTTACGTGTCAAACATGACAATGGCCGACCCTGAAAACACACAAACCTTGCTATATTTGAAGTGCAATCTTTTTTAATAACGAAGCATATATACAGTAAATAAAACGATGCGTTGAAATATATATGTTCTCAGCATACCTTATTATAGGAAATTAATGATGCACTTTATTAACGCGGATTTTAAAAATTCGCGTTAATTTAATTAATGTTAATTTATGTGATCGTTAATTTTAAGTATGTAATTTTCATTTATCGTTAGTTAAAAATACCTAGATTTGTTTTATATAACACTAACTCTTTTAATATCAAAATACAGCATATTAACGTAAACTAAAAACATCAGTGCTCCTCTTAACATTAAACCTTTGTTGTTGTTGTTGTTGTTGTTGTTGTTGTTGTTGTTGTTGTTGTTGTTGTTGTTGTTGTTGTTGTTGTTGTTGTTGTTGTTGTTGTTGTTGTTGTTGTTGTTGTTGTTGTTGTGTCTATATTTTCCGATTCGCGTTAATTTAATTAATTTGTCAACCATGGAGATCAGATTCGCGTTAATATAATCATGTTTTAAAAGACCTAGAAGCAATCCGCGTTAATTTGATGTCGCGTTAATTTATGTAAATCGCTATATCTGGAACGAAGTAAGGGCAGCGCAACCTACACACGTAAAAACGCACAAGTAATTGTTACAGGTCTGCAAACAAGTTGTTACAAATCTGTTCACAAGCTGTCGACAAGTTGTGTTCCCACTGCTTGTTCTAGTTATTGTAACAAGTTTGAAACAAGCTGTTAACAACTTGTAACAAGCTTGTTGGCATTATCAGACATGTTACAAGGTTGTTATATAATTATATCATGAAGTCTGATATACAGTCATGATATAACAAGAATGTTATATCATGATGAGTGGATGACGACACAAGGTTGTAACAATATTGTTATATCATGACTGTAACGGGCTTGTTGGAACAACCTTACGACACGACATGTCTGATAATATCAACAAGGTTGTTACAAGTTGTTAACAGTTTGTTCCAAGGTTGTTACAAGTTGTTAACAGTTTGTTCCCAACTTGGGACAAGCTGTGCGAACGCAAAATAGGGCCATTTATACGGGACAAAATAAGTCGCGTCTTACATAAGACGCGAGACGCGTCTTATATAAGCTGAGTTATCGCATAAATGGTTCTCTACGGATTTATTCTTATTTACTTGCTATAGCTATAATGTTGTTTCGGTTGTTTTTGTTCGAATATGCAAGGCTAATAATTTTACGTTGTTTCAAGTTTCGGGCATGTGTAGTTAGAATTTTTGTCTAAAATTTCTTATTTAAGGTGCGACTTAAATAAGAACAGCTAAAAGTCCTGTTCTTATGTAAGACGCGTCTTATCCAAGACACGTCTTACATAAGAATTTTGTACCTTTTATACGACAAACTCGCGTCTTATTTAAGTCGCGTCTTATGTAAGTCGCGTCTTATTTTGTCCCGTATAAATGGCCCTAATGTTGACGGCTTGTTGGCAGACATGCTACAAAATGTGAGATTTTTACGTGTGTAGTCCCAGTCTTTCTGAAGCGTGCTAGCACGTGGAACCTAAGTGTGACGTCAACTTCTCAAGGCATTCATATACGCCTGCAGAAACAAAATATGAACAGTGAAGCGCCGAAGAGAGTGCGCCTGGGACTTAAGGCTGACGAGTTAGGAGCGGAATCAGCGCGAAAGCCGATCGCGCCCCACAAAATTCAAGGTCTGAACTCTGAACTAAGAGTACAGGGTGTCCCAAAAAAAATGTCCCCTGTCATATTTGGTGGTATTACTTCGCTATATTTAATCAAAGGTACAATTTTTTTGCAGTGGGTTAAAAAACAATCATATTATATTGATCGTAGTATTTATCTCACCAAAAGACTTAACCGTTCGGCTTCTAGAGATACTTAAGGTGGCGACACTAATTTTGCAACTCGTCCAAATTACAGATATTAGGTTAAAAATAATGCAAAATTTGTAGAAGGATTTCTAAAGTTTCTACCCACCTTTCTGTTCAAAAACAAAATGTTTTTATCTCTATTATTAAACTTTTGTTTCTTGTAAATTTTTTCCTGGCAAATTGACAAAGGCAAAGCAAAGGTTGGGAAAATGCCTTAAATTTGCTGTTTTCCATTCAATTTGTTCCATGAAAGAGCAAATGTTGGGATTTCAGCACTAATCTTTCCCCTTTTCTGGGGATTGCTTCATTTTTACAGAAAATTAATTCGCGATTTTGGCTACAACTAATTACAAGTTTTAGAAAAGGTATGTAGCCATTTACCATTAAAATATTTTATTACGTTCCATAATACGTTTAAACCTAATATTCACAATTTGGACAAGTGGCAATATTGGTGTCGCCACCTTAAGTAACTCTAGAAGGCGAACGGTTAAATATTTTGATGCAAAAAAATGGAATGATTAACGTAATACGTTCATTGATAAAAAAAATGAAAAAATTTGAATATTCGATTACAGGTAACGATGTAGTACCACAAAATATGGTAGGGGCCATTTTTATTGGGACACCCTGTATAGACACAAAAAATTGTGTTGAACTATGTATAATGTCTACACAAATGCGCGGTATTTTAAAAACGAGACAACCATATCACACATGAAGATATATACATGCAGCTATTTCAATTAAGGTTGTCCACGAGCAAAGCGGAAAAGTCGAATACGAGCGCGAAAGGCTGCTGGGAATCGCTAACAAATTAATGAATTTTCAAAGCGATTCCCAGCAGCCTTTCGCGCTCGTATTCGACTTTTCCGCTTTGCTCGTGGACAACCTTAATTGAAATAGCTGTAGACACAAAGGTAATGTGCTTTTAATTAACTTTGTCTTTAATTAATATGTATCTTTCAGTGTTTGAGAACGCCAAGATAATGCGGAGTACTAATTGCGTGGTGTATACTGTATAGTTATCTATTATTTATTTCGTAACCGTCAAGGTAATCACACAAAATTTATATGTTTTAACTTTGTTTTCATGAAGTACATTCTTCCATTCGTTTTCATCATCAAATAATCTTCAGTAATTTTTCGAGCGAATCATGACATCATATTGCATAATTAGATTTTAAATAAAACTATTCAATATATAAAGCAAGAAAGCAACAATAAGACAAGCTAAGAAGGTTAATTGGAACTACAACGAATGAAGTTTAGTCATTTCGAATTGAAAATGTTGTGTTGAATGATCGAAATGTCCAACATATTTAAACCCTATTGGATCGGACAGTTTACAAACTGTTTAAGTATTATTAATAATTACCTTAGTTTGATTTAGCATTCTATTTGATTCATCCAATTTGATTTGCATGCTAAGTGATTGAATTAGTGATTAATCAGTCCGTAGAGATTCACTCTTCAGGTATTACAAATTGTATTTTATATTTTGGATCTTTGATATTGTGTAATCCTTTAATCATTATCTAATCAGAGTCTAATCCATTTCAGAATGTATGCATATTAAAATAATATATTACGAAAAATCTCTACTGGATTGTGTGTGGTTTTGCCCAAACGGAAACACCTATATCTTACTTCATCTGAATATCCTTCTTTTTCAGCGAGCATGGCACACTGGATTGCATGTTCTAGTTGGTTCACTGGTTCTCCCAGATAATCATTATCACCATATTTTTTGTACAGTGAGAATACATTGAAAATAATGGATGATTGTTCGTCTGCTTCCTCCATTTTTACAAATGATTCAATCTGAAAAAGAAACACTTATTAACACTATAAAAGTCAGTGGTGGTTCATGGGCATAGCAGGGTGCGATAATTCACGTACCAACGTACCGGAGGTACGCCAAATTTATGGTCTGGTACTTCTTTGTTTTTAGGCAAGTACCACGTAGGTACGCGGAAATTTGCTATTCGCGTACTTACATTTTCCTTCTAGCAATAACTAGTGAGACCTGCCTAAGTATTAAAAACCGTGAAGAACTTTAGCTGTTCATGTAAATTCCACGTACCCGACAAAGACCGACATATTTTGGGAGGAAAAAAGCCAAAAGCCAAAATCTTTGCACTTGATCAAAAAATTTATCGTCATCGTCCGACTGAAAAAAAAATCGCTCGGGTGAGCGATTTTAAAATCGTTATCGTCAAACGTACGCCGATAATTTTATCGTTTTCGTTGTAGACTAAGTGTGGACACCAACATAATCTTTTTACCAATCATCGCGTGTTTACAAGTTATCGTATCGTTATCACTGTGTAGTGTGACCTGGGCTATACCAAGGCCTAAAAATAAAATACCTGTGGTTCCGGTTTCCCGACCGACCCTAGTTTTTTTGCCCACCCTATTATTTTTTTCAACACGATTGACCGTGCGACCCTATTTTCTCCTGGTGGTCGCGGGCTGCTCGTACAGCGTGCCAAAATGGCGTCTGTTGTCACAATAATTATTGAATCAAATTGCCTAAATTCGTCCGTAGGAACTGCGCATCTCTAGTAACCTGTGATCAGGCCTATAGAGCCTGATACTCAGATTACATCTCTAGTTAATATTGATGTCGGGACTCTACTGAAAATCGCCCAGCAAAAAACCGCCAAAACCATGAAAAAAATATTAAAAAATTTTTTATTTCCGACCTACCTACCCTAATTTTTTCGCGATGTGAAACCGGAACCACAGTTTTTTTTAGGCCCAATGAGGAAAACTACACTGTATGTGGCTGAGGTCAGACTGTTAGCACCCTCGGTAAATCCACTGTAAATGAGCGATGGCATTCGAGTCACAACGTCGACGCTTTGAAAACTGTTATATTATATAAAGTTTGTTCGTTCACTGCAACCAGGTATATCAATCATGTTTCGCTCGCTACTCTGGTTTAAATAAATGATTACAAAGCCCAGTCGAATTGTAATCAAGACCCAACGTTTCGACACTCCAGTCTAGTGTCTTCATCAGGGGTGATCTAAAACTGCGATCGTGGCTTCTTAAATACCCAAGGGATGACGTCACCTGCCAAGAAGATGCATATATTCTTCTGGCAAATAGGCGCCGTCATCCCTATTCAAAGCATGATGACTCATATTTATATGCCACGCTTCTAGGCAAAGTCTTTGACCATAGCGATTGTTTGTGGTAATTACTTTAGAGTTTTCCCACGCAATCTCGTGTTTGGTGTAACATACATGTTCGGCTAAAGCTGATTTTCCCTTGTCTAAAGTTGAAACAGCCTTTTGATGTTCTTTTAGCCGTGTACCAAACTGGCGTTTAGACTGACCCAAATACTCTTTATCGCAGTCACCGCATGGTATAGAATATATAGCATGAGTCTTCTGATTTTTTTCAACAGGATCTTTTGGCTTTGCGAAAATATGGCCTAAGGTCAAATAGGGTTTTAAGGCAACCTTAATATTACAATTACTTAAGATTCTCTTGATTGGTTCTGTGACACCTTGAATGTATGGAACTATTGCAAAACCCTTAACAGAGGCATCACCCTCGGAGTTATTTTGGTTCCTACAAACAGGTGGTCTCAGGCAATCATTAAGAAAACGCTTTGGGTAATTGTTTTCCCCTAAAACATTTAGAACATATTCACGTTCATTAGCTTGAGAATCACTGTTTGACGGCAACGATTCAGCTCTTTGAAGCAAAGTTTTTGCTACGGATCTTTTATGGCTTACTGGGTGATGAGAGTCGTATGACAAGTATTTGTCTGTGTGTGTGGGTTTGCGATAAACATCAGTCTCTAACTTCCCTTCGACAGTTCTGTGTACATTCAAATCTAAAAAAGCTAAATGTCCATTTATTTCACGTTCTACCGTGAATTGGATGGACGGCTCAATAGAATTTAAATGTTGCAGCAGAATATCGATCTCATTTGTAGAAACCGCAGAGATGACATCATCGACGAAACGTTTCCAAAACGATAGGGACACCGGAACAGAGGCTAAAGCTCTTTGTTCGACATCTTCCATTACTAAATTAGCAATTACTGCCGAAACTGGTGACCCCATCGCTGTTCCAAAAACCTGTTGATAATAACAGCCCTCAAACACAAAGTATGTGGCGTTAAGACAAAAAGACAGAAGATCAATAATATCTTCTACAGGCAAGGATGTTCTTTGTAACAAAGTGGCATCCTGTCTTAGTCTTTTTGCCGCAACCTTGATGGCAAGATCAACTGGGATATTTGTAAACAAGGAAACGACATCAAATGATACCAACACTTGATCTGCTTTAAGAGTTTTACCTCTTACAAATTCTGCAAAATGACAGGAATTTTTGACAGTGTTTTCGGTATTTCCCACCACAGGGGACAAAATTTTCGCCAAAAAACTTGAAACTCCATATGTAGGAGAATTCACAAAGGATACAATAGGTCTCAATGGAATTTCCGGTTTATGGATTTTCGGTAAACCATAGAAACGCGGAGATAGTCCATCACTGCTCAGTGTGGATTATAACGATTTCGCTTTGGTCGGACAAATGTCCGATCAACTGGTCAGTTGGTCGGACATTTGCCAAGAATGGACGGCCAACTTTCTTAATATTTTTTACACGATACTGCATGAGATAACTTTAGAAACATTTATATCGATGAAAGTTAATACAAAACATGAAATCACAAACGTCATACATCTCTATTTACATGGAAATGTCCTATATAGAAACCTACAAAGTTAGAACAAATGTACGCTGCCACACACGGACACACCACACTCGATTCGAGGACGCGGCCCCGGCGCGAGTTTTAAATCTTAATAAAACTGTTAATTTGTTTTATAATATAGCGTTTGTAAATTCTGAACGCTGATTGGCTAAGAGCCGTGTTGATATAACTCAATGTCAACACGGGAAATTTTCCGCCGCTTGTAAACACGAAATTTTTCTTATCCTTCGGGCTTTTGACATTGCTATATTATAAAAAAAATATAAAACATTTTTTCCGTGTTGATATATAGTTATATCAACACTCGTGGAAGTTGGGAGAACTCGAAATTGTATGAAAACACTCCGCCCTTCGGGCGTCGTGTTTCCACACAATTTCTCGTTTTCCCAATTCCACTCGTGTTGATATAACTGTATATCAACACGGAAAATGTTTTATATTTGTTAATTATTAAAACATTTCGCTACAAAAACATGGTAGAAAATTTAAATTAGGAGCAGAGTTCCTCGCCTATCGGTGACGGTATAGGCTTTAAAGCCTAGATCGTCTATATTTTCTTTGCCAAGTTTTACTTTAACAAGTTTTATTTGCCGGTGTGTGATGGAGAAATATGGCAACAAATAAACTTGTCAAAGAAAAACGTACTTGCAACATTTCTCCATACGCACAGGCAAATAAAACTTGTCACAGCTTGACAGCTAACCTTAGCAAAGAAAATTTGCTTGTGTACAGTAAAAGAGGCCTAAGTGTATGCATAGGTAAAATGGCCAATCTTAACTCTTTATCAGTTGGAGATAGAACATAACGGCTGGAATATAAACGTCTTTGTGTAAAGTACTGTGCATAAACACAACAGGTTCTACTTTTAAGAATTTAATGTTCGATTATATCGTTTGAATTCATTCGTCTGACTCATCACTGTTGCCAAACCAAGTATCCCAGTCACTTAGTGAAAAAGATAGTTCACTTTCCGATTCTTCTTCATCCGTTCTGGGTCTTCGGGAAGCGTACGGCCTGCGAGCACTTTGATTGGGTCTTCGTAATCGAATTTTAGTAATGGAAACTTTGTATATATTTGATCGGTCAAAATGTCCGACCAGAATAAAGTTGATCGGCCATTTGTTGTTTTTGTTCAGCAAATGGCCGATTGCCGACCGTTATAATCCACACTGTCACTGCTGTATAACTTTTCATATGTAGCCTTGCTGATAATATTGGATTTCTTCAAAAGAAGTAACAAGGTGTCACAGAACCAATCAAGGTGTCACAGAACCAATCAAGAGAATCTTAAGTAATTGTAATATTAAGGTTGCCTTAAAACCCTATTTGACCTTAGGCCATATTTTCGCAAAGCCAAAAGATCCTGTTGAAAAAAATCAGAAGACTCATGCTATATATTCTATACCATGCGGTGACTGCGATAAAGAGTATTTGGGTCAGTCTAAACGCCAGTTTGGTACACGGCTAAAAGAACATCAAAAGGCTGTTTCAACTTTAGACAAGGAAAAATCAGCTTTAGCCGAACATGTATGTTACACCAAACACGAGATTGCGTGGGAAAACTCTAAAGTAATTACCACAAACAATCGCTATGGTCAAAGACTTTGCCTAGAAGCGTGGCATATAAATATAAGTCATCAT